GGACGGGTCGCCTGCCAAATGCAAGCCGCAGTATGGCGTCCGAGTATTCCAAAGTCGGAGCCTGGAGTGGGCAAAGGTACTCACCCAGCTTCGTGAATGTTGAGGAAGGTGACGTTGCCAGCAGTTCGAATCTCGCCGTTCACGAGATCGGCACGCATAGGGGTCCATGGCACAGACCTGGTCCTGCGGAATTTCTCAGAGAACTTGGTCTCCATTGCTTCGACCCATCGCTCGTTGCCCTATGATGCCAAAGGTTAGGCAAATGTTCGCGTGCCTGACCGAAGAAGCCACAATACCATGTAGTTGCACATCATATCTGGACGAAATGGAACGATTAGAACCATAACGTTGACCAAGAGGGAGCGAGTTGAAGTTTACCTGCATTACCAGCGTACACCAAGAGTTTGACGCCGTCGTTAATCAGCTCAGGCAACAGAAGGGCGCTGTTGTGCATTCCGTCACCGTTCATGGTGAAGGCTTGGTTGACCTCCATATTGCAAGAAGCAAAGTTGCGGTCAGGGCTGACACCGAGGGTGGCCTTGACCTTGGGATCGTTCATCCAGGTTTCGATCCATGACATTTGCTTGTAGCAAAGATCACCATCCTTTGCACGATCACACTTGAGGCGGACATCATAGGGATTCCTCCGGTTTCTGAAACCAATGAGCATCGTGATGGCGGAGTTGATCTTAGACTTACGCATAAGAGGTGCAAAGATCTGCGAGTTGCAGTAAAGCACAGCGGGAACACATGTAAACTTGGAGTTGAACTTGTAGCAGCTGTTGATGAGCCTCTGGCAAGTAGGGATCTTGCCTCGCAAAGCCTGGCACTGGGGTCCCATAGGGTCGTCGTACACGGGGTACGGGCCATCGCAAGCCCAGTCAGCGATGGATCCATACTGAACATAAGGATCAGTAAGACCGTTGGCCAAAACGACAGAAGCAAGGGTTGATGTGCTTCAAACGCGAGTCGGGCTTGAGGGAGAGCTCCTTGTTGGACTTGTAGATGATGTTGGCAAAGTTGGGCGCATAAGTTCCGCCGTAGCTCTCAGCGGCCAGATGGAATGGCTGAGTCGAGTATTCGGGGAATCGGTTTGAGGAAGAGCTCCAAGAACGCGTAGACGTCCTTGCCAGCGAGGGGGCTAGAGTTGACGGAGGTAACTCCATCGGCGTAGGAGAAGCCAACGTTGACTGGTTGGTCGAGGAAGATGATGTTGGCATGGGTGTTCCAGCTGTGTGGGTTGTTGGTAATGTTACGACCGCCGTCAGCAATTGAGCAGGGGCCCAATTCGAAGAGGAGGACCGGTTGAGGAGCTGCAACCAGGTCCACCATTGAGCCAGAGGAATAAGAGGAGCATCCTCAGGGGCGTTCGAGCCTCAAAGAACCTGAGGAGTTGTGTCACAGAGCTTCTAGGCTATAGCTGCGGATGACACATACCAGAAGAAGAGGTGCTTTGTCCTCTGCAACGTCGAGGTATCCAGAGTACTGCTTACAGACGAGTCGCAGAGATCTGGCTCAGTGACCCTCAGCTGCTGAGTCTCGAACAAAGGATGGGTAACCAATTCGTCTAGGTAGCCGTAGCGCCGGTACTACCCTCGCAGCAAAGTCGACTCACAGAGCAAGTTATCCTGCTTGATAAACTCCTTTCCGTCGTGATACCACTTCTCCAGGTTCTTCTTGCCCTTGAGCACGGCCCTCTTCGCATCGCGCTGAGGTACGGTGAAGCAATGTCCTTCACGTCATGACGCGCCTGGTCCAGGAATGGATTGCTCAGGACACGCTGCTGCGTCGTCGAACAAGGATGGCGCAGCATACGCCGTGACAAGCCCAAGAGCTGCTAGTACTGAAATGGCCTGGTATAACCTCATGATGGAAAGCAGAAAGCTCAGAGGCGGGTAGCTAGAAGCGCAGCTAAAGCCTTGGTGTGGTAACAGACCTGAGCAGTCAGGCGATGACATGATTGCTCCCCACGGTGGACGGAACACGGGAGGCAGTTAGCCGGGATGCGTCAGAAAGCGAGAGAGCGATGAATTCAACGAGCTGGTATAAAGATACAGGCCATGATATAGTCTACAGAGAGTGTCCTTGAAGCTGGTATAGAATGTGCATGAGTGGTGTACAATGAGGCGATGCAAAGTCCGTGATTAAAGCGAGGTATAGGTAAAACCTGAGAGAACGCAGATGATTGGTCGAGACGAGGAAGGGGGAACGGGAAGTCAAAATAAAAGGCAATATATGTTTGGTCTCCACAAAGGTCAGAACAGGGTCTGATATTTGTTTCATCTTGAAAACGAAAGGGAACTAAGACTTACGAAAGAGAGCATAGATAGGCCAAGACAAGCCGAAGTGAAGCCAACGAGATAAGCCTAAGATGAGGGTCAGCACAAAGTCAAAGCAATTGGAGGTGAATAAGTTCAGAATAAAAGGCAATATGTGTTGTCCTCAAAAGAACGCCTTAAGCCGCCCTCAGAACAGGTCTGATATTTTTCTCATCTCGAAAAGGGGAAAAGGTAGCAAATAAAGGACAAGACGGCTCACTGAGAAAACTCAGCGCTAACAGTACCCATGGGTGGCATCGGTAGGGACCGGCCGCCACTTCTCCCTAGCAGGCATCGTTTCGCCGTACACCCACTCCTCTTCGATCACTTCGAACGCGCCAGAGGCATCGCAGTCTTCCACAAAGACGCCCACACCATCCTCTGCGGGATCCAACAACATCTCAAAACTGACCCCGTTCGTGCTGCTCTTCCTGGAGTTTCAGTTTCTCGAGAGCGTGTGAAGGAGATCAGCCGCCAGAGGAGTCGAATTCGGTGGGTCTTTCCACAATCTGTTCCCAACCGACCGGTGGGGAACCAGGTGGTGAGATCAAGAAGTTCTTCTCGACCTTGGGGTGGCTTTAGGTAGGTGACATGAGGCTCCCCGTTCTCTTCATCGTCTGTATTCTTCGGCTTTAGAGGATTGCGGTCTGCTCTGAAGACACGCAGGACGATTTGCTCACTACAAAGATGTCAGCGATAGTACACGAAAAGGTCCAAGAATACGTACTGGGTCATTGGTAGCCTGGAGTGCTATAGGATCGCAAAGAAGCTTTGCTCGTTCTGCAGAGTGATCGTCCTGGTAAACCACTATAATCCGCCCAAAGCCAGGCAGAGGTACCCATTGGTTGATCTCTCCATAGTTTGCGAAATGCGTCCGCAGCATTTCCAGAATCAGAGGATCGAAAAAGTTCTTTGGCAGAGAGGTAATGGCGACAGTATTTGTGGCCTCAGGCGCCGGTGGTGAAGGTGAAAGTTCAGCAGCCATGGTGGTCAATAAGGAAGATGGGGAGTTCGACAACAAAATCGTAAAACTTTTTATGGTTGTCGGCAACTCATGGCGACGCTGACTAAGCAGCCAAAGATGGCTGTGAAGCCCCTATGTCGGGCGATGATGTGGAAGTTCCTGCTCATGGAATCGCAAGAACTGCGGGCAGTGCTCAATGTCGTGCCATACCGTTGCGAGAGAAGATCGTTCGCGTAAACGTTCAGACAAATGACAGTAGCCAAGCTAGAGCGAGCAGGGTCGGAGCAAAAAGCTGTAAAGATTCGCATCGGTCAATCATGCGCAGCCCTATCCTGTGCAGGAAGCATCACAAGGGATGACCAAAGAGTACATGTGGAGGCCTATTCAGGATATACGCGCAGATTAAAGATGCTTCCAAAGCCAGCAGTCTCGAGATCAGCACTAAGAGCGAAGCCGTTGCTGGATCTCAAGCCTGGCGCTGATTCAACGCCCCACCTTCGCCTCCTTGCTTGCGTCAAATGCAACCGTCACTTGATTGAAACTAAACACAGCAAATGAGTTTCATCTGTCAGGGAACATTGACAAAGACTTACGGGTCTCAGGTGACTTTTTGGAAGTTTTGTAAAGCAGATCCTTGCGAAGATGATCAGTATTAACACTCCCGTGACGTGCAGAATTGAATTATTCACATTGTACTGCTGTAGTCTCAGACCAGGATGCTAGTTTGGCATTGTGAGCGGTGTATCAGAGATGGACTAGGTGATCGCTTACATCCTTCCGCAGGTTAGGCAGTTTCGCGTTCCGAGTATGCGGCAAAGGCGGCCTTGGTTCCAATGTCAGTCGCCGATATCCAGCAGCGGAAGTTTTACCATACCTTGAAACGGCGCTGCGGTTTCAGAGGTCAGTAACGCTGTAGACGGACATGCTAGACACCGACTCCGTACCTCTGGATGTGCTTCAAGCTTAGCCGCCTGTGATCCAACACTGGCCTTGTCCATCTTCGCAGTGACAACCTCCAAAAGGTCAAGAGCATTATCGATACCAGTTGCTGCAAAGCTCTCGGGTTCCTCTTCTGGCTCCTTGCCCTTTGGTGTTGCAGAGCCAGAGCCCAATCCTCCACCAGCGGCAATAGCACCAGGACCAGCCGCCTGACTTCCTTCTTCTTCCCAGCCTTGGGCGCTGCTTTTACCTTGGATGGTCCAGCTGCTTCTTCTCTTCGAGAAGTCGGCAGCCTCGGCTTTGCGAGCCAAATCGGCCTGCCGTTTCTCTTCCTGTGCTGCTTCTTGGCTTTACCGCCTTTGGTATCATTGTCCTGCCAGGCAGCAGCCTCTTTACGCTCCTGAAGCAGTTTTTAGCGCAGATATGCCTGAGCAACGACTCAACGTACTCGTTCCGCGGGCAGCATTTGCCTTCTGGGCTTCGTTCTCCCTTTTTAGCCCTTCCCGACTCTTTCTTTGCGTTTCCTCCCTTGGGTGGCATAGTCTTAAGGTCTATTCGGTCGAGTTCAGGTTCGTTTCTTTGTCGGGTTTGAAATGCACAGAGCTGGTGAGAGTCAAGATCACGTAGGAATGACTCCTGCCGAACGCTCAGCAGATACCGAGATGGCATTGACGCTCTAGAGTTTATCTTATCTGATGATCGGGAAATCTCCGCTTAAAAGAGGGCGCTTAAGACGGCTCACTCCAGGCAAAAAAGCGAAAAGAGAGTAAAACGGCACATGCCCCCTGCAAGGCTCGAACTTGCGACCCTCAGGATTACACCTTGGAATCACGGTCATAGAAGAACTATGCGACCTGCGCTCTAGCATAACTGAGCCAAGGAGGCGATAATAAGTTAGTGATCATGCCCATTCAGTTATGCATGGTCTGCTCGGCCACGCTAAAGTCATGATCAACCCCTATCCAGGTCCTTCTCCCCTATCCACCCACAATGTCTTCAAGTTCAGAAGTGCACCCTTCCGCTCGAAGTTTGGTCTGAAATCATCCGCAATGCAACGCAGGGGACTCAGCAAGTCGGGCATTTGGCCAGCGCCCGAGCATGACAGCGATGGTGTACGGAGAGTGGAAGTCCAGCATGGTAGATGCCGTTGTGGAATAGGCACATGTAGTCCTCAACTAATGACCCTATAGGTGACAAAGTCGCGTGTTGTACGCCTATGCAAGGATTGGTACTCAACTGGGATACCTTTCTTGTATGAGCATATTGTGGTGAAGAACTGCGAGCGCATCCATACATATATCCCGTATGTATCGCAAACGTCTGCCATCGACCAGACGCTTGGTCCACCTGGGCGGTGTTCACCAAGCGTCTCGACATCGGCCACGACCACACCCGCCCGCCCTCTACGATCTCGTGCAGCTTATCCCGGACTCGTACTGCATCTTCCCAATCTCCGTGCCTTTGTTGCGGCAGCATGCAGAGTCACTCATAACCTCCTCGAAACCCTTCCGCCAAGCCTAGAGCACTTGAACACCGAGACGACTATTCGATGCTCCTTGGTCCTTTATATTGGCGGGAATTCCTTACATCTCATCCTAACCTTCGCTCCGATGTTCTTCCCGAGCTCGGGCATGCACCTCCCGCTTGCCAATTTCGCCGCCATTCTTGATGTAGCAACTGGCCGAGCTCAGGGTGCACCCTTCCCAGTTTGAAACCGATGCTTACCCATATTTTCTTCTCTTCGGAGGCTTGGGGTGCAGTGGCGGGCTGGACAAAACTACGTGGGGGCATTACCCCATTACCATGCCATTCTTCGGGCACTGGAGAAAACCTTACGTCCCTCTACATATCCATAACACGTAGGCCAGACAGTGCTCTTGACGATGCAGCGGCACTCGCCTCTCAAAAACTTGCCCGAATCTGAGGCACCTTGCTGTAAAGTTGGATCTCGATTTCGAGCTTCCGCCCAAATATATCCAGCAGCGTCAATGTATTTGGCGTCAAGTTAGGCACCCCTAGGTTCAAGGGCTTCGCAATGCACCACAATGTTCAAGATACTTCTGAAGGCGAAAATATGGTTCCCTCAATTGAACGCTGTCCAATTTCTTCGACGATCGCGAAGTGGCCCACTTACGGACCTGTCACTTTCTATGCTGTGAGTGTGGGTCCATGCTCTGAATACTCTCGGTGTTTCGGTCCAAGATCACCTAGAAAGGAATTTCATATCTATTCAGCCTGAGTAGTGTCTGGCGGTTGTCACTACGTACGCTCTAATCCAATGTACATAGTGCGACTTTATCGTCGGTTGGTTTGGATCCTTTTATGATCCGTCGGTCGGTGGTGCTTGATCCATGAGGAACAGAAACGGTTATATAGTGCCCACTGAGGTCTTTGCGCTGTCCACGATGTCACCAGAGGTCCGCCTTCCTCCTGAGATCTGGATTGATATTCTGCGGCAAGCAACACATGGGCCGCTTTGGTTGCAATTATGGCGACATGCAGCTGTTCGCACGCTTCGATGGGTACGAAGAGTGGAGGGCCAACATGGTGAAACTTGTTCATGTTCGCTTTCGCAGGCGTCACCTCACTATTCTACAGAACACAAAGATACGTGTTGTACGCGTTTGCAAGGATTGGTATTCCATTGGTCTACCATTCTTATACGAACATATCGTCGTGGTGAAAACCTGCGAACGCCATTCCAAGATATACGTCGTATATGTCGCAGCCATCCGTCATCGACCCAATGCTTGGTCCCCTTGGTCGTCACACCAAACGGCTGGATATCGGGATCAAAGACTTTGTGCCGCTTTCTGGAGCCTCCACCGTACAACTGCTCCTGCAGCAACTTCCCAACCTGCGAGCCTTTGTTGCGGCTGCATGCAAGGTCACGATCAACGCCCTTGACGCTCTTCCGTCAAGTCTGGAGTATTTCGAATGCCGGGACGAAGATAGCAACACACAAACCTTCCACCAGAAGCATGGGGCTCATTCCTCACTTCACATCCCAATCTTCGGTTTGTACCGTCATCCCCCCACTAGACGAAGAGTATGACGACCCATTAAGGGCTCTCACTTTTTCGCCCGCACTGTCGCTGCAGCAGCTGGTTGAACTCAGGTTGTACCTTCCCAGTTTATAACCGACTGCTTTACCCGCACTCCATTCTATCAAGCGGCTCGGGTTGAAATGGTGGTACTCGACGCAATACGATCGGGTGTTACCCTTTACCAAGAGATTCTTGGGTGATTGGAAGAGATCTTACAGCCCTTTCCCTATCCATGTCGTTTCATGAAGGCCCAGGAGATCGTCTCCAGGACGCTTGCAACGCTCGCCCTAGACACTGCACTAACCTGAAGCACCTCGCTGTCAAGGTGGATTTCGACAACTTCAAGCTCGCTCGCGGGATATCTACCAGTGTCAACGGTCTTTGGCGTTCAGCTCAGCATCTACAGGATTGAAAGCCTCGCGGTGCACCCAGACTTTCGAAAGGCTCTTCGAGCAAAGATATGGTTCCCCCAGTTGAACGCCATCCAATTTTTCGCCAGAGATGAGGTATCTCATTTACGAAATTGCCACTCTGCGCGCTGCGAGCGAGGGGGCTATTGCATTGGCAGCCTTGGGCATATCATTGCAAGATCATTTGGGGGCGGAAGCTCATACCTGTTCAGTGATGTCTGCTAGTCTCAATACATATAGTTGGCTTTTAGCATTGAACTTTTCGTTGACAAACTTTATCCCACATTTTCTGCGTAATCCATAGTTTGGTGCTGTTCGATCAAATGGTTGGTATGAAGGTCGTTCTTGGGTCGTTCCGTGTCCGTGTCCACCACCATGTCGGAAGTCCCGGCCTCCTCTTGAAGTATGGATTGAAATCCTGCGGCGAGCAAAATACGGGTCAGGGTGGTTGCTTTTATGGCGACGCCCGAATATGATATCCAGCAGTGTGTACGAAGATGGAAGACCAACATGGTAGACATCGATTACGCTCTCTGTTTTGTGAGGTGTTCTCACATCTTCGCAGGTCGTAAAGTATGTCGTATCGTGCGTGTATGCAAGGATTGGTACTCCATTGGGATCCCCTTCCTGTACGAGCATATCCTGCGGGCGTGTCCCAATATACACACCGTATGTATCGCAAACGTCTGCTATCGACCAGACGCTAGGTCCCCTTGGACGTCATACCAAGCAGCTAGATATCTACAAACATGCTCGACCGGTCCATACTATCACCCTTGCCATACCACTGCTGCTACAGCATCTTCCCTATCTGCGAGCCTTTGTTGCACCAGCAATATACTGACCACCGAAGTGTTCGATGCCCTTCCATCAACTTTGGAATTTTTCGATTGCACAGGCGACGATGACCTTGCATACTACCTCTCACCAAACACATGGTGCTCATTCCTCACTTCACATCCCAACCTTCGGTTTACGGTCCTCCTTTCCCTGAACTACGACGAATTTCCACAGGCTCTGGCCCTCTCACCGCTACTCCCGTTCCATCAGCTGAACGGGCTCAGCGTGTACCCTTCACAGTTTTTCGTCGACCGTTTACCCGCGCTCCATTCTGTGCAGAGGCTCGGCTTGAACTAGTGGTATTCGAAGAACTACGATCGGACTTCAGTACCATCTTACAAGAGCATCCCTTCGGGGGATTGGAGGGAACATTACCTCCCTGTGCCTATCCATGACCTCTCACCAAGGGCCAGCGGAGAGTTGTCTCCAGCACGCTGAAACGCTCGCCCTCAAATACTGCGTCAACCTGAAGCATTTGCTGTCAAGTTAGACTTCGACAGCTTCAAGCTCGCACCGGGGATGTCCAACAGTGTGAACATCTTTGGTGTTCGGTTGGGTGTCTTCGGGATAAAAGCCTCGCGGTGCAACGAGACTTTCGAAAGACTTCGTCCAGCGAAGAGATGGTTCCCCGAGTTGACCATCATACAATTTTTCGATATGGGGGAGGTAGCTCATTTGCGAACGTGCCACTCTGTGCGCTGCAAGCGCGGGGCCGTTGCTTTGGCAGCCTTGGACATATCCTTGCAAAGGTCCTTCGGACAAGGATCTCATAGCTGTTCAGTAGTGTCCAATGGTTTCTCTACATAAGTACGCTAGACTCCCTGTTCCCTGAATTTCTCGTCAATGGACTTTTATCTCTGTGTGATCCGTTGCTCGGCGGTGAATGAATGGCAAGTGTTCTGAGCATCTTCTTTCTCTTCATCCACAATGCCATCAGCTCCCCCTCTGCCCGCCGAACTCTGGGGGGAGATCCTACGCGAGGCTACCGTAGGGTTCCAGTACTCACAGCCCTGGATCTTACCCAGCCTCACCCCTCTTCAGTACGTAAGATGGCGAAAGAGCATGGTCAGAGCCGCACCCACTCTTCAAGTCGCGCCAGACCGCTGACGCTGCTTACCCTCTCTCTACAGCTCACTAAACGCCGGATTGTCCTCGTCTGTAAACATTGGTATTCTCTTGGCGTTGCCACTCCTCTACGAGCACATCGTCTTGAAACGGTATGAACGCACCGAGCTTGTTGCCACAAGTGCCGCCCGGATGTCGTCGATCGACCCTGGCCCTTGGTCCTCTCGGCAGGTATACCAAGCGGCTGGACATTGCATGCCCAAATAATACTGTCTCCTCCTGCCACCCTTTCTTAGCCCTCCTGGAAAATCTCTCCAACCTCCTTACCTTCACCATTCAGATGCATACCTTCCCGACCACGACTGATTTTCTCAGTTCACTACCGTCGACCTTGGAATATTTCGAATGGAAGAAAAGCTATGATGAACATGCTTTCCCAAAACCTTTACTCATTCCTTTCCTTGACTCGCATCCCAATCTTCGGATTGCCTGTTTCCCGAATTTCGCAAACAACGCAGCATCG